TCAATACTTAATTATGAAACAGGACTTGTGTTAGATGTTATGTCAGCTAATGTAAGTGTTTTAGGCACATTTAAGGTAAGTTAAGCTAACCCATCATGTTTGGTAGGTTAAGTGTATTAAGTGTATTTCTGTCTTAGGATATTTTCAATTTATGATGGATTTACTAGGACATAACCAGAGGAGTATCTGTAGACCAAATGAACGCAAAGCTGTCTGTTCTATACATGTTGGCCTTTGAAATAAGTAAAAATATTAAAAATATTTAAAAGCACTATGTTAAAAATGTATTTTCTATTTGAAAATTTACCTGAGTCAAGGAAGATATAAATAGCTAAACGAGTAACAAATATAAATCTATTAATAGATTTGTTTATACTTAAGTCTGATTCAAATCAAATACTGTATCCTAAAGAACTATTATTTTGTTCACCATGAAAGTATTCTGTTTTTGCCATTATGTTCTAACAAAGCCAATTTAAACAATAGCTATAAACAATATTATAAACTATTTTGAATGATATAGGTATTATTAAAAGATTGAGAGGAAATATCAAATAATTATCTTGTCCCTGAATGGACAAGATATTTTAATCCAAAATTATTTTTCCTTTTTATTTTCATAATTATGTACATTTCATAGCTCATCAACACCAATATTGGCACACTAAGCAATAAGGTATTTCAAACAAAGTACCCCTTAACACAGGTGCTCAACATACTATCAAAATTAAAATTTTCTTCCATTATTTATATGGATCCATAATATATGCAGCTGCCAGGTTAAATAAGCTAGTGAGGGTCTCCTCTCCTTCAAAATGAATCCAGAAATACACACACACACACACACCCATAAATGACTAACAAATGGAACACCACAGAAGTATTTTTAAAGTTTATCTGTAAAGTAAGCACATAATTTCTGTGGATTCTACATCAAACACGACACTTTTGTAATTAGCGGAAAAAAATTTTAATTAAGTATATTAAATTTCAAAGACATCAATTAACCTAACAGATGACAGAATAGGGCAATAAGAGGAAGAATACCATTTTTCCCTACTCTATTTCCCATCCCTATCATAGTCACTGTTTGTAATGAGACAGTGTGGTATGGCTCAGCTGTGTTTGCAAGGTAAAATGGTTAAAATCCACTGAATTAAAATGAAATAAAAGATTCCATCTATTGCATTAAAACTAGTTGAAGAGCTAATAAATGTTTACTGAACAACAACCATGTAACAGGTTCATATCTAGCTATTATGGGGATTTATAGATAAATGCCTCAGAAGCCTTATCATTTTTAACAAAACAAAAACACTTAATAAGAGGTAAATTAAGTGTTATGACAGACTGGGCAACATGATGAGACCTCATCTCTACAAAAAATAAAAACAAAAATTAGCCAGGTGTGGTGGCACACACCTGTGGTCTCAACTACTTGGGAGGCTAAGGTGGGAAAACTGCATGAGCCTGGGAGGTTAAGGCCACAGCAAACCAAGATCTCACCACCGCATTCTAGCCTGGGTGACAGAGCGAGATCCTGTCTCAAAAAATAAACAAACAAACAAACAAACAAACAAATAAATAATGATAATAAAATATTCAAGTTGGGTGTGGTGAGAATGAGGCCAAGGTGAGAAGATCACTTGAGTCTAGGAGTTCAAGACCAGCCTGGGCGACACGATGAGACCCTGTCTCTACTAAATATACTAAAATTAGCCAGTTATAGTGGCACACGTCTGTAGTCTCAGCTACCGGGGAGGCTGAGGTGGGAGAATTGTTTCAGCCCGAAAGACAGAGGTTGCAGTGAGCTGAGATTGTACCACTGCGCTCCAGCCTGGGCAACAGAGCAAGACCCTGTCTTAAATAATAAAATAAAATAAAATAAAATTTTAAAAATAAATGTTATGAGGCCGGGAGCAGTGGCTCACACCTGTAATCCTAGAACTTTGGGAGGCAGAGGTGGGCGGATCAACTAAGGAGTTCAAGACCAGCCTGGCCAGCATGGTGAAACCCTATCTCTACTAAAAATAAAAAATTAGCTGGGCATGGTAGCACGTGCCTGTACGTCCCAGCCACATGGGAGGATGAGGCATGAGAATCGCTTGAACCCAGTGGGGCGGAGGTTGCAGTGAGCCCAGATTGTGCCACTGCACTCCAGCCTGGGCTACAGAGTGGGGCTCTGTTTCAAAAAATTAAAAATAAAAATAAAAAATAAATGTTATGAGAGCATGTGGAGAAAGTGAAATTGATTCTGGCTGTGGAAGAAATATACAGATGAAAGGAGGAAAGCCTAGAAAGATAAATGAAAAAGGTTAAAGAAAAAGGGCATCTGAAATAAGCCTCATAGAAAAAAACAGAATTGAGATAATGACAGGCAAAAGTAAACAATAAATTAAATATCTTACTTTACAACAACCTTTTACTTCACCTCTCAATTCTTACAGTTAATTATGGACAATGAAAAGAATACTTTAATTATGGCTCCAAAATAAAGGCCTTAGAATTATTTTAAATTGATTTAAAGAAATAACAAAATGATTGTAAGAATGAATGAGAATTATCCAAAAAAATGGGAATTATCAGAACTACTGTTTCCATTTTAGTTAGAAATACAAACCATGCATGAAAACATTCAGTTTACATTTGAACATCTTAAAATTTCTTTAAATCTGGTGCTTAAGACCACAACAGAAGGGAAAAAATGAAAAACTAAATGTGCCTGTCCCATTCTGGACTCAGTGATAGCTGTGATCAACTAGCCAGCTGGTGTTCGAAACTATGTTTTTAAAAACTTGATTTTAAATGTATGTATGTTTAGAAAGAAAGAGAATGCTGGAAGCTATTAAATTTTTCAGAAACCATGGTTTTCTAAAAGATTTAAAACAAATGAACCACTGGCAAAAATAATCATTTAGGAAACTAAGTTCTGTGACAAATGTAGCCACTTCATTTACTGAAGTACAGAAAAAGTCTTAATAATGTTAAAGAATCTATAAAAACAGAGCCTTAAAATATACTCATTCTAAATAAACCCTGAAGACTAATTACATAAAATCTTTTTTCAATAAATATTTTTCACATTCACTAAGCATTCCCCTGCAACAAATATTTATTGAGCCAATAAACTTCCACAGATTACTTTCTGGTGAGATCTTTTTATGCATATTCAAATTGGTTTGTTTTTAATTCTATAACAATGAGATACTGAAAATCTATTTACATATCACTAAGCAATTCTACACCACCTATTCATTTGGTGACTTTCTGTGAATACATACTACAAACAGCAGATTTATTCATGGAAACTGGCATTCAAATCAAATTATCCGTCAATTATTGTTATTTGTGACAGTTATATTCTATAAAATCACCACAAACACTGAATTTGTGAATATATAATTGCTGCTACTAGGGGAAGTATAAGGTTAGGTTCCTGCAAGCCCCTGGTCACAACGTTTTCATCAACTGATCAATACATAACACATATGTACACATACATATATGTACACATACAGACCATATATAGAGATATAGATAGATACAGATATGGCCTTTAATTTAAAATGGGAGATATATATATATATCTCAGACAGACAAGAAAAGATGCTTATGATATATTATTAAGGGGAAAAAAGGGAAGTTAAACAATACTATGTATATGATTCCTTCTGTAAAAAACAAGAAACAACTTGCTTGTACTATATATGCATACACCCTAAACAGCTAACAAAGAAGAGACTTTGGCAATTCCATTTTTTACAATGAGCATGTATCAGTTTTATAAGCAAACAGTAGATTCTCAAAAAATGTTTTCTTATTATGGCCACTTAAAAAATGAAATAATGTGATACAAAACTCATGTTGTTTCAAATGATTCCTATAATCTTCATGTACTCAGGTAAATTCTGCTACATATAATGAAGAACAAACACCTCATATTTCAAAGATAGAACTTCAGTAAAACATTTTCAAAATGTTCTCAAAAATTCGCAAAAAATGTTCTCAACACTTGCCAATCCCCCAAACTGAAACATTCAATGATTTGTAACAGGGATTCACAAGCTTTCACCATACGGGTAAATATTTTGCGCTTTGCGGGCACAGATGGTCTCTGTACATATTCTTTGTTTTTCTTTCTTTCTTTTTTTTTTTTTTTAATAACTCTTTAGGAATATTTTTCAGATTTCTTAGCTCAGAATCACACAAAAACAGGTCACAGACTGGATTTAGCTTGCCAGCCATAGTATGCCAACAAACCAGCATTTAGAAGTCTGATATTTTAAATATATTACACCAAAGGCATCAGAGGTCACAACAGTTGAGTTTTATTCTACATTAAGTAAATAAGGTAGCATTATACCAATTAAAATTACAAGTTAATATATTGAATTCTATATGCTAGACTACAAATCAAATGATGTAACAACACAGCAAAATAAATTTCAAGCATTTAATAACTGTAATCAAGAGTGTGCATGTGAATGCTTATAAAGCATGCACTTCTCCACTTGAAAAAAATCAGCTGAAATTTAACTACCACACACATCAAAGCTCAAGTCTCCTTTTACAATCATTAAAACCATTCACTCATTTAAATAATCAAAACTAGTAAGTGACTTGTTTTAGAGATCATCAATCCCTGAAAATTAAGAACTAATCAGAGACTTGTAGTGACTTACTCGCTTTTAATTTTCTAATTTATAAGAGATATTGTAAAATATTAATCAATCTTCTAAAAGATTCCTCTTTGGAAGTTTATATTCTTGAAACTTTTTAATATTTACTGTGTCAGTAACCATCAATATACTACCTTTTTTCCTCTGAAAGATAGCTTTTATACATTTGATTTTATCTAAATTTGAAAGATCTTCATTATTATCCAGCTGTTACTATCAAATGAAAATTTCATTATGAATAATAAACTGGGTCAAAGTAAAAGTCTAAAATGAAAATTCATCCTGCAAAAGTAACCAAATACCATCATACAATAATCTTACCTAGACTGGTGGGTTTTATCAGTTCATCCAGTAAATCATAAAATGGTAATTTTTGAAGTTTTATATCCGGATGGACTGGGTGAAGAGCTGATGTAAGATGTGGGAGTTCCAGTTCATGTTTAGGTCCCAGAAGAGAAACAGGGAGTAATGGCGATGATGCAGGGTGACCATCGTAAGTGAGCTGTGGAATGGTAGATGGAGACAAAGTTGCTGGCATAGGACTTGAATGTACGTTGGGGATGGACAAGTCTGCAGGCGTCATGATTTTCTGCGGGAACCGCCGCCTATAGAGTTCCTTAATTTTCATTTGTACAGCAGGACTACAGCCAGCCTTTAGCAAATGCAGGGCTTTTGTGAGAAGTTCGTGTTTGCGTCCGTGCTTGTTCCTCCCAGCGTAGCCCAACAGTACTTGGAGTTCAGAAACTCTAAGGCTCATAACCATTTGCTTAGAGAAAAAACAAAATGTAAAACATTAGTATTCCAATAATATAATTTACACTATTAAATGACACTTTATTATAACCCCCTTCCTATGGTTTACTTAAGTAAATAAATGCCAGTTCACTTATAATCCTAATTATTTCAAACTTCAAATTTAATAATTTAACATAAATAACCAAAGAAATTTAAAATTATTATTCATAAATTGACTTCTACCCTTGGTTATAAGAGATATAGGATAAACTATACACCAGGGAAAACCACACCTCACTTTATTCCACTGTTTTGATGAAACTGTCAGGTATTTATCAAGCACTTATTGAGTCTCCAAGGAGAATGTCGAATGCTATGTAGACGGTAAAACATAATGATGTGCCCTCAAGAATATTTTGTTTTCTTGGGGAAAATTATAAGTATATATGAAACAACAAACAGTCCACCTCAAACACCAGATGTAGCCAGGATATCAATAGCTATTATCAAGTGTTACATTCTATACTAACTCTGGAATTTGTAGACTTAAGTTATACCTTTTGTGACCAATTATATATCAGATACTCGATGTGATATTTTCATATGGAATGTCATAATCTTTACAACTCCCCAGGGCATTATCCTGCCTGATTTACATATGAGGAGACAAGTTCAGAAAGGTTAGATAATTTATAAAGCCATAAAGCTACTAAGGAGTACTCAGGATTCAAACCCAGATATGTCTGATTCTAAAGCCCATACTCTTTCCACTAAACCATTAGGAAAAAGACAGAGCTGGACTCATATTACTGACTCTCACTTAACTTGCATGGCCAAGTTAGAAGTCCAGCAATCCAATTCATATGCCATAATGTATGAGGCTGCAGTAAAGAAATCTATTTAACTTTGTTTACCTATGTTCACAAACTTATTTGGTCACTGTTTCTCCTTTTTCCCCACCTACTAATAGGAAATGCCCATCTAATACCAATCCTCCCATTTTAAAGTGGTGGAAAATGGAATCCAAACAGAAGAAATCACTTACCCAAGATCACACAGCTATTAGCAGAATCCTAAAAGACTGCATCACCACTGACAGGGAGTATTAGGATAAAAAGACACATGTAAGCTTACCATTTGCTCTCTATTTCCCCAACTGATTCCTTCACCTCATACCAGATACACAAAAGCTATGCTGCCTTCCCTAACTCACCACCACTCACAATGATGACAGCAGCCAATTCTTTGCAAGTGGCAAAACTATTAAGCAAAAAATAAAATACTGAGGAGAAAAGTATATAAAGAGCTTTATAAGCAACACAGCTGGTTAATCAAAGAAATACAAGTCCTTCCTCTACTTCTCTGGCTTGGAAAACTCTTTCCTCAAGGTTCAGTTTTTGTTAGCCTTTGCCCATTAGACCTGGTAGGATGATTTTTACTCTATTATTACTGGCCACTTTTCGTATCTGTATTTTAGCATTTATCTTGCTTTACTGTAATTTTCTGTTTACACAAGTGATTCTATAACCAACCCAGGGTTCTCCATGGTACACAACCACATTACCCTCAGCTTCTAAGACTAGGGCCTTATAGTGGAAACTCTTCAAATGCCTGCACAATGAATGAATGAATGAACAAACAAATGAACAAACAAGAAAGGAGACCAGAAGAAAGGGTGGGAGGTAGCATCTAGAGTGATAACTTATCCAAATGAACGCTCAAATTCATGTTCTGTAGAGGCATGCAAAGATATAATGTAAACCTTAAAAACAAATGCTACCCAAATCTTAGAAATGTTTCTCTTTTTAGATGTTATCAAAGATTGTAAATAATTACTAACTATAATATCAGCAGGATATCAATTTCTCCCTACTCACCAAAAGAGTACAAAATACTTTTAAAGACTTTTATTATTTAAAAAGGAACAGGGACTTCAAACAGAAATGTACTATTAATAAGTAAACTGCTTTTAAATAAATAACATGAAACTTCAAGGATTAGAGGTTAAAAATAAATTTAAGTTGGCATGGGTCAAATGTACTGCATTTTACAGGGAAAAAAGGTACAAATTTTAAAGAGAACTATTTCAACTCCATTATCCTAAATCAAAAACAAACCAGCAAAACTCAGTGACTACTGTAAACCCTGCATTGATGGCAGCTTTTGACTTTATTCTACAGCTACAAAGATTTAGATGCAATGCAGATATATTATTTTCCTATTTTTGTAGAAGAATATGTTGACATTTCTCATATAATCTCTTGCTTGACGATCCAAAAAAAGCTTATGACACAACAATAAACTTGAGAGCCCCTCAATTATATTTTTTCTCTCTCTGAAACAAAGCATAGCAGCAGCAATAACAATACTTGGTACATAGTAGGTACTCAAATAGTAGCTGCGATCAGCAAGCCAAGCTTTTTAGTTTTGTTTGTTAAGAGACAGGATCTTGCTATGTTGCCCAGACTGTTCAAACATCTAGGCTCAGGTGATCCTGCCTCGGTCTCCTGAGTAAGTGGGTGTTTTTGGTTTTTTTACAGGATTCATCATCAATTGTCATAATTATCAGGCAGGTACTGTTCTCGCTTTTCAGGTGGGAAAATAAGACTTAGGTGAAGAAACTTGTTGAATGTCATGCAACTGGTTCTACTCCTACTGTGCTTTCTTTCACACTATAGTATGCTGACTTTAAGAGGACACGAACCACATGCCTTTTAACTGGAAAACAGAAAAACCTATTTGAAGATTAATTTATTTAACTCAATCTCCATTTATGTAACTCAATCTCCATTTCAAGCTTCAACAGTTTAGCTTTTAAAAACAGGTGATTAAGATAAGAAAAGAATGTGTGTGGATTCAAATTAACCATTGCAACCTATAATCAGGTATAATGAAAAATCAGGTGGTATCTATTGCTGTTATTGGAACAGCTGTTGCATACTCTTAAGGACTGTGATAAGCATGCAGTATTTTTTAAAATGAAATAAAAGAAGCGGGAGGGAAACACTGAAGCATCTTTCAACAGAAAAGCTGCAAAGAAGCATAAAGCAGTCAATTCACAATGAAAAGTGTTGACAACACTGAAGAAAACTAAACACTAATACATTTGAGATGTTGAAATGAAATATATTTTAATCTGAATTTATTTAAGGTGTTTAAAAATCTCCATTTGTTAGCACTACAACAAAATGAATATTTACAAGTAAGGATTACATCAACCACTAGTACTATTAGAAATCATTACTTCCTCAGCAATTTCATAGCATTCTGCTGACTCTACGTCCGCAATTGATAGAGTTCTCAGAATTCTAGGGGATTTAGAATGCCTCAGAACGGTATATATTTTGAACACAAGAGCATTCTGTAAGGAGCAACCTCTTAAAACTAATTTTTTAATCTGACAGACATGAACACAACTTAAAAAACCAAAAAGTTGTACAAGAAAAACAGCAGTTCCTTCCCCCTTTAACATACCCCACAATTTTCAAATCCCTGAGGCAACCACTTTCAAGTCTTTTTAGCTAGTTCTTCTGGCATTTTTTTCTCTATATTCTATGTAGTAGGTCTATGCAGCTGTTTAATTTTTTCTTTGAGGACTTTACTGACTTTCTATTATAAAATACAATGGTTTAGTTCTGTTACATCTCTTCTCCCTCATCTTTCTATCATAATTTTTGGTTGAACCAATTGTCAGTACTTACATTATTACTATGGCTGTAAATAATATTCACAGCTAAGTCAAAAGTACATCATGATTACTCTTCCTTTTCTGTATAACTTTCCTTTCCTTACAGTTAATAATTACACCATTTTTCCATTTGCTTAGGTTTCTAGGTACCTACTGCTAATTCATCTGCAAACAGCTAAAAGTATTAACTTTCTTCTCAATATATTCAAATATATCAGGTAAATCAGTTTTAATTTCTTTCCTGTAGCCCTCCACCGTGTTCCAATTTGGACTGTAGGCTCTCTAGGCCTGGTGCACAATTATGGTCATGGAATTTCCCTTTAGCTTATCTCGGGAATTCCCTTGTCTCTCTTTTATACTGGATCCCGTTTCCTTATCCCACTACTTCCTCTTTCTCGGTTTTCTCTTTTTTTGTGGGGTATTTCCTCCAGCAGCTTTCTGAGAAAGGGGGCACGATGTTTTTATTCCTTGCATTGTATTTTTAAAATCTTCATTTACCCTTACTACTGAGTTTGGCTCAGTACAGAGTTCTGGGCAGGAAATCATGTTCTGTCAATATTTTGAAGGCCTTTCCTTATTGTTTTCTGGCTTCCAGTGTTAAGAAGCCTAGTACCAATCTGACCCATAATCCTTCATAGTCAACTATATATGCCCATCTGGAATCACAGAAGCTTGTCTTAATGTGTTCTGAAATTTTACAATGTTGTGCCTTGGGGTTGGTCTTTTCTTTTTTTTAACTGCATAAACTGATAACTGTCGAGTCTTTTAAACTTAGAGATGTATGTCCTTCAGTTCTGGGAAGTTTTCTTACAATAATCTTCCTTCCATGTCTTTGCATTCTCTTTCTTATATACTTATTATTCAGACACTGGTCTTCCTAGACTGATTATCTAATTTTCCTTTACTCTGTTTTCTTTTTCCTTGTGCATTTTTACATCTCTTGTCTTTTAGCTCTATCTTCTGGGATTTTCCTCAATTTTATCTCCTAACACTTATATTAAATTTTTAATTTCCATGAACTCTTAATTTTCTGTATATTTCTCTTTCCTTTTTCCTCTACATTTTGTTATTTTTCTTTTTTGAGAATATAAATTGGGTGTTGATGTTGTTTTCTTCTTCTCCCTACATTGGTCTCTGTCTTTCATGCCGGAAGCTTTCCTTAAATGAGAGGCAATCCTGGGCTGTGCATACATATTTAAGAGTAAGATACTAAAAAGATGATTGGAAAATCTATGTGAGTGAGCAGACCAGGGTACTTCATCTAGAATAACTGAGCAATAACCTGGCTGTTTTGTTTGGATTCCCTTTGCTTCCTTTTGTCTGATCACTTTTGACAGAAAGGAACAATCCAATCTCCTGCTTTGGCGGTATAAGGCTGGCTTCTAGTGTTCTAAGGGCAGAGTAGTGGGGAATGGGAAGTCCTCACCATTCAAGACAATAATATTTTACTCAATCCCTTTTTCAGATATGTAAAACTTTGCAAAAACATACATACATATGTATGCAAACTCTGTCCCAACTACACAGAGGCAGGGGCCATGTTTTGAGAAAGATAAATACAATAATACTCAAAAAATGTCAACAAGCAAACAGGCTTTTGCAACTGAACAGAAAGTGTTGGTTTTATTGTATCATTAGCTGTGACCTTCCATTATTGAAGGTTATGTCTACACTGTGGATAAGAATTAGGTATTTCTTGTTGAACAACATAATTACTCTTGTTCACACATCCCACTGCAGTGGTTTACGGGATTAGTCATAAAGCAGACTCTATATTATGAGTCTTTATCTGGTATCAATTTATAATGAATTGTAAACCAGAATGAATTCTGAAGACAGACAAAATAGGCATTTAATAATGTCATAATATTTCATTTATACTTTTGCCTTTTATCCACAAAAGCAAATGAATAATCACAAATTCTATAACTGCACACATTAAATCTTGCACACAACAAAAGTATTTTATTATTTTCAAAGTTAGATTCTTCATTTAATGGGGCTTACTTTTGGATGACTACTAAATCTCCTCATTAGAAATTCTTAATAAGCAGCTATTAGCAATCTGTCAACAATGCCTCATTTAAGCAGAAAACCTAGTTAGACAGTTTCTATTCAAAGCAGCAAATCAGGTTGGTTACATACTTCTCCATAATCTTGTTTCACCTAATTTCTCATCTTTTATTTATTTCACAGCATAAGATAACTGGAAAATGACCGGTAGTGCCTACTCCTCTAGTTATCTTCCACCTCTCCAGGTCCATCTTATTGGCTGCACTGAGGTCCCACAAAGTGACAAAATATTGCAATTATACATAAATAGAGATTCCATTCTCCTTTAAACAAAGTATAAACACCGTTGAAATGGCGCACCATGGCTTCAATTTTTGTTAGATAATTTAAACATCATCCTTATTTACGTACTACCACATTTCACGAAACTTCTATCTTTAAAAAAGTTCCTTCTGGACGATAACCTGAACAACAACGACGACGACAAAAACATTAAAAAATACAGGCCCACGCCTGTAATCCCAGCACTTTGGGAGGCCAAGGCGGGCAGATCACTAGAGGTCAGGAGTTCAAGACCAGTCTGAGCAACATAGTGAAACCCTCTCTCTACTAAAAATACAAAATTAGCCGGGCATGGTGGCAAATGCCTGTTAATACCAGCTACTTGGGAGGCTGAGGCAGGAGAATCGCTTGAGCCCAGGAGGTGGAGGTTGCAGTGAGCTGAGATCGCACCACCGTATTCCAGCCTGGGCAACAAGAGCAAAACTCCGCCTCAAAAAAAATAAAATAAAATAAAAATAACAAATCCAACTCAGAACATTGTAACACTGGAGTATAATATTTTTCCTAAAAAGAAAAAGTTTAGGCCAGGTGTGGTGGCTCACACCTGTAATCCTAGCACTGTGGGAGGCTGAGGCAGGAGGATCACTTGAGCCCAGGAGTTTGAGACTAGCCTGGGCAACACAGCAAGACCTCATCTGTACTTTAAAAAAAAAAAAAAATTAGCCAGGCCCATTGGTGGCACACACCTACAGACCCAGCAATTCAGGAGGCTGAAGCAGCAGGATCCCTTGAGCCCAGGAGTTTGAGGCTATGGTAAGCTGTGATCACACCACTGAACTCCAGTCTAGGCAATAGAGTGAGACACTGTCTCAAAAAGAAAAAAGGAAAAAAAATTTTTAAGGACTTAGTTTAATTTTAAAATTTAGAGTGTAAATTCCTAACACATTGCCAAACTTCTTACGCAGAGGTGGGAAAATATGGCTCTTATTTAAGAAAAAGGCTGCTCTGAACACAGATGTTCAATAAATGCTTTTTGGATCCATGCACAGGCCCTAAATGAGTATGCATAGGAAGAGAAGAAAGGAACAACGAATACATAGAAATAAACTAGTCTTCAGAAACACGCGTAATCATCATATTAATTCAATTCTCAAAGGTTACTGAATACCTAAAATATGCTGAGTAAATGTACAATATAATGGTACTGGCATATACAGAATTTGGATTCATGGCCACTAATTTACCAAATTACAATCTTACAGGTTCTGCTTTCTCACTTCAAAAAAAAAAAAAAAAAAATGAGGGATTAACTAGAAGTTCTCAGGGTTCCTTAAAATTTCAGAATTCAACATTGTAACTGTATTAAAAGAAATTTTCTTCTCATTCTTCTACTCTTCTATAGTTGAAGAAATACAATCCATATAGTTAGTGAAATCTTTCTATATTAGCAATGTTTTCAACCATAACTTTTAGTGTCATTTACATGAGTTGACAGAGTAAAAATGACAAAACATAATATATATTAAATACTTATAATGTACCAGTAACATACTAATAAGCATGATTATCTTATTTAATCCTCACATGAACCCACAAGACAGAGTATTATTATTCTCACTGTATAGATAAGAAAACTGACATTACATCTAAAATCACACAGTGAATACGTGATGGAGATAGGGCTCAAATCTGACCTGACTCCAGAGCTCACAACTAACTAATACAACGTCTTATCACAAGCTCAGCCAGGGCTGAGTATATGTTAAACTGAGACAGGGACAGGAAATGGGTGACGGGGGCACTAAATGACAGTCAAGGAATTCATACAGTATAATGTGAGCAGGCAGTGGAATACATGCATATTTTAGAGGCAGTAAAGATGTAACTGAAATAGTGCTTAAGGAAGTTACTGAAGTAACCACCAATAGGATGGCTGAAATAAGAAAAAAACTAAGAAATAAACCTTCCAGCTAAAAGATACGGCAACGAGCAGGATTTATCTACATGTAAGGTAAGAAGGAACTGTGCAGTGGAAATATAGGAGACAGGACCAAGAAATACTGCAAAGAGACACTACAGGCCATGTTCAATATTCTACAAACAGGTAGGTCTTTTAAAAATTAGACTGTACTTGATCATGAGAACAATATCATTCACTTTTCAAATAAAATCTAGAATTTAAAAATACTAAGTAGGGCTTTAAGAAGTTTTAAGTCTATTAAATTCTAAAAGATGATTATTCTTTCCTAACTGTCCCCTTACCAAAACAAACAAAACACTGCATTTGCAATTAGATGATCTAAGTTTCAGATAAGACAAAAGGCAATGAAAGAAACAGTATACCCTATCTGAGAGAAAGCTGAAAAGCCTAAAAGAAGAAACATGTATTAACAAAACAAAAAGTGAGAAGAATGCATCCCCTAAACTAAACAGTCTAAATTACAGCTTCAGTCTGGGTCCTAGAACAGAGATTAAGGAAAAGTCCTAGAGGGATGGTACAGAACTATTTCAGAGTAACAGGTGTAACCTACTGACGGTAACAGAGCTAGCAAGTAGTGGATGGAGCTCAGACTCAAAAGGCAAATGCCAACCGTCACACAATGCTACACAGTAATAACAACTAGAGACACTATCAGATAGTATGAAAATGTTTTTGGAAATAACAGTAACAGAGTATCATAAATGAACTTAAAGATCTTCTTCTTGTCTAAAACTCCATCTAATATATGAAGTTTTACTCCAACTTTCTTGACTGACGGTCCCCCAGCCTCTGCTATAACACTTCTAAGAGTTCACAACCTTTAAAAGCTGCCCCATTAGTGAAATTGGGGCAGGAATTGAAAGTTCCCTTTAAAGTCTGACCAATGGTTCTAAAATTTCGTTCTCTTGGTATATCAGAATCGACTCTTAAAATGCTTAAAATGTGTTAAAAGGACTCCTTTCCTTCAACTAGCTAGACCCCTTCCCACTCCTGATACTTCTCAAGCATTCTGCAGTTCATAGTACTCAGAAGTGAATGAAATAATCTAGATATGGTGTGACTAGTCCCAAACACAGCAGTATTACTATCCCTCTTAATATGAACATATTTTTACCAATATAACCTAAAAAGTCATTCACATTTTAGGTTTGTTTTATTTGGACAAGAGGGGATGTATGATATGTGTTATTCTTTCGTTTCAGCAGGGAGGGGGCTGCATCCACATCATCCTGTTGCTCATGTTAACTAAAACCGTTACTCTTTCACATAAACGGCTACAGTATAAAGTCAAACCACCTTATCCTCGAATACAATTTTTGTTAATTTAAAAGTAGAACTTAACGTTTCATGCCACTAAACTTCATATTTTTCAGCTCTTCATTCCAGCCTTTCAAATCCCTTTTGAAAAATTGTTTCCTATACCCCTCTATCGTACAATTATCACAAAATGCGGTATATCATTGATTTTCCAGTTTATGTCCTCTCATAGACTTTGAGTTTTTCAAGGATAAATACTCATTTCCATATCCCCTATGCAAGTATAGTTAATGACACCAAGTAAGTGCCCAACAGATGATATGAATTCCTCTTCATCATCTTAATACACCCTTTCCAGTTCTGTGCCATATATAAAATCTGAGAATTGTGACCTTAAATATTCACCCAAGTCATCCTTAAGAACTTGGAATATGACAATGTCAACTCTCTTGGGCCCTGAGCATATCATAAGAGATTCTCCTCCAAGTAACAATAAAATTTAAGGCTACAAATAAGATTATTCAATATTTGCGATTAAGATGTCTCTTTTCTTAAGGATTCCCTTTTCTCCTAGGATGCTCTTTTCTCCTAGGATTCCCCAGTCTTTTTTGTTGTTGTTCTTTGTTTTTATGAGACAGAGTCTCACTCTGTCGCCCAGGCTGGAGTGCAATGGCACGATCTCAGCAACCTGTGCCCCCTGGGTTCAAGCGATTCTCCTGCCTCAGCCTCCCAAGTAGCTGGGACTACAGGTGCATGTCACCACGCCCAGCTAATTTTTTGTATTTTTAGTAGAGACAGGGTTTCACTGTGTTAGCCAGGATGGTCTCAATCTCCTGACCTCATGATCCACCCACCTCGGTCTCCCAAAGTGCTGGGATTACAGGTGTGAGCCATCGCACCCAGCCTGATTCCCCTATCTTAAGGTAAAAATAAACATCTTCCAGAGGGCACAAGAAAATTAAGGTTATCATATTTCAGTCCTGACTGATAAGTTTTAGACAGAAACAAGTTTTTAAAAAGATGTACACAAAAGTTCTAAAAGTCCTAGGTGGCCAGGCATGGTGGCTCATACCTGTAATCTCAATACTTTGGGAGGCCACGGCGGGCAGATCACCTGAGGCCAGGAGTTCAAGACCAGCCCAGCCAACATGGTGAAACCCTGTCTCCACTAAAAACATAAAAATTAACCAGGCATGGTGGTGGGCACCTGTAATCCCAGCTACTCAGGAGACTGAAGCAGGAAAATAACTTGAACACCAGGGGGCCGAGGTTGTAGTGAGCAGAGATCGCATCACTGCACTCCAGCCTGCACGACAGAGAAAAACTCCGCCTTCTAAAAAAAAAAAAAAAAAAAAAAGCCCTAGGAATGATTCCTTATAGAGAAATGTTAAAAAGAAAAAAATAGGTTACAGCAAAAAGTTATTCAAGTCTTGCAATGACAGCTTGCCTAAATATTTTTTAAAATTCCATCAGAAGCCTATTAATGATAGCAATCCTTTCTTTTCTACACAGAATGGAACACTTTCACTTAATTATTCTACTAGTTATAGATAAACAATTTCACAACAAAAGCATCCTTTAGTCTATGTAAAGTAAAACTGCTAACTTTCCATAAAACTTAGAGATCATTATGATCATTATCTTCAGAACAGATTATTATGATTAAAATTTAAGTTTTATGATTTAAAGTAACATTTACAAAGTTACTACAGTAGCAAAAGCAAGTTTAAAAAAATGTTTTGGCTGGGCACGGTGGCTCACGCCTATAATCCCAGCACTTTGGGAAGCCGAGGTGGGCAGATCGCCTTAGGTCAGGAGGTCGAGACCAGCCTGGCCAACACGGTGAAACCCCGTCTCTACTAAAAACACAAAAATTGGCCGGGTGTGGTGGTGGGCACCTGTAATTCCAGCTACTCAGGAGGCTGAGGCAGGAGAATTGCTCAAACCCGGGGCGGAGGGCGGGGTGGGCGCGGAGGTTGCAGTGAGCTTCACTCCACTTCACTCCAGCCTGGGGGAAACAGAGAGACTCTGCCTCA